GTTGGAGTCTCACTCAGTCGCCCAGGCTGGAGTAAAGTGACACCCTCCCAGCCACTACAGCCTTGACCTTCTGGGCTCAGGTTATCCTTCTGCCTAAGTCTTCCAAGAAACTGGAACCACAGACGTGTGCCACCAAGCCCAGCTGATTTTTTTTATTTATTGTAGAGACGAGGTCTCACCATGTTGCTCAGGCTAGTCTTGAACCCCTGAGCTCAGGCAATCCTCTTACCTCAGGCTCCCAAAGTGCTGGGATTATTGGCATGAGCCACCATGCCTGGCTAAGAAAATTTTTTTCTTTGTTTTTTGTTTTTGAGTTGAAGTCTCGCTCTGTCACCCAGGCTGGAGTATAGTGACATGCTCATGGCCACCATAGCTTCCACCTGCTGGGCTCAGGAGATCCTTCTGCCTCAGCCTTTCAAGCAGCTGGAACTACAGATGTGTGCCACCACACCTGGCTAATTTTTAAATTTATTACAGAGATGAGGTTTCTCCATGTTGCCCAGGCTGGTCTTGAACCCATGGGCTCAGGCAATACTTTTGCCTCAGCCTCCCAAAGTACTGGGATTACAGGTGTGAGCCACCACGCCCGGCTAAGAAAATCTTTCATTTATTTTTAACTAAGGAACTACCAGAGAGTAGAGGTTACATAATATATTTGTTTTCTATTTTTGCCGTAACAAGTGACCACTGACTTAGTGGCTTAAAACAATACAGATTTGGCCGGGCATGGTGGTTCACGCCTGTAATCCCAGCACTTTGGAAGGCCGAGTTGAGGGGACTGCCTGAGCCCAGGGGCTTGAGACCAGCCCAGGCAACTTGGCGAGACCTCGTCCCTATAGTAAATCAAAAAATTAGCTGGGGATGGTTTCGTGTGCCTGTAGTTCCAGCTAATTGGAAGGCTGAGGTGGGAAGGTTGCTTGAGGCCAGGAGTTTGAGACCAGCCTGGGCAACATGAGACCTTGTCTCTGCAAACTAAAAAAATTAACCAGGCATGGTGGTGCACACTGTAGTCCTTCCTGCTACTCAGAAAGCTGAGACAGGAGGATTGCCTGAGACTACGAGTTTGAGACTGCAGTGAGCTATGGTCATGCCACTGCGCTCTAGCCTAGGCAATAGAGTGAGATTCTGTTTCAGAAAAAAAGGAGATACGAATAAACCAAAACAAACAGAAAGCTAGAAAGTAGGGGAAAACCACGTGAAGATGATCAGGCTCGAGGGAAATTTGGGGCTTTTGGCTAAACTGCAAGTCTCTCCAGGGATGTAGCCTGTTTGCTCCCACAGTTAACTCTGGGGAAACTTGAGAGGTGCCACACCACGGTGTGAGGGCGGGCACTTTCATTTTTCTTCATATTATTAGCCTGATGTTCCAATTTAGTAGTCCAATCTCTTTCCCTCACCTGAGACGCTGGCAGTATTACATGCTAAGGTTTTTTTGGTTAGCTTAGAAAATATAGTTTATTTTAAAACTAAATTAGAGAGAGAGAAAGAGGGGATTCACCTCTCCAAGGTAGGGGAGGGAGCCAGAGCTTAAGAAAACATGGACTAGCCGGGCTCGGTGGCTCAGTCTGTAATCCCGCACCTTGGGAGGCTGAGGTGAGTGGATTGCCTGAGCCCGTGGGTTGGAGACCCACCTGGACAACTTGGCGAAACCTCATCTCGATGATAAATCAAAAATTAGCTGGGTGTGGTAGTGCGCGCCTGTAGTTCCAGCTACTTGGAAGGCTGAGGCGGAAGGATCGCCGGAGCCCAGCAGGGTGAGGCTGTGGTGGCTGGGAGCGGCCACTGCACTCCAGTCTGGGCGACAGAGTGAGACTCCAACTCAAAAAAAAAAAAGAAAACATGGACTGACCATAGCTCAAAGAGCACATGGCCACACCATAGCTTAGCAAGGCAATGGCCACATTTTAAGTTTTTAATCATGCTTAGTTCTGCTTCTGGTCTTTGACACTGTTCCATTGAACCATTCTTTGTTTTTGTTTTTGAGTTGGAATCTCACACCATTGCCCAGGCTAGAGTACAGTGGCACGCTCATGGCCACCCCAGTGTTGACCTGCTAGACTCTGGCGAGACTCTGACGATCGTTCCACCTCAGCCTTCTAAGTAGTCCGAACTACAGGCACGCGCTACCACACCTGGCTAATTTTTGATTTATGGTAGAGATGAGGTCTCGCCAAGTTGCCCAGACTGCTCTCGAACCCATGGGCTCAGGCAATCTACTCGCCTCGGCCTCCCAAAGTGCTGGGGTTACAGGCTGAGCCACTGAGCCCAGCTGATCCATTCTTTGGATACTAATATTCCATCGTCTTAATGACTTCATTACATTTAAGAATCTGGTTGAACAATTTCTCCTTATTGGTCTTTTGAAAAACTATTCTCAGAGTTTATTTTAGTTTTAAAAATAGATTTTATTTATTTATTTATTTTTTGAGTTGGAGTCTCACTCTGTCGCCCAGACTGGAGTGCAGTGGCCGCTCCCGGCCACCGCAGCCTCGACCTGCTGGGCTCCGGCGATCCTTCCGCCTCAGCCTTCCAAGGAGCTGGAACTACAGACACACGCTACCACGCCCGGCTAATTTTTGATTTATTGTAGAGATGAGGTCTCGCCAAGTTGCCCAGGCGGGTTTCGAACCCGCGGGCTCAGGCAATTTGCTCACCTCAGCCTCCCAAGGCGCGGGATTACAGGCTGAGCCATCGAGCCCAGCTGACTTTATTTTTTAAAACAGTTACAGATTTACATAAAAATTGAGAAAATAATACAGAGAGGCCCCTTGTGCTCTGAACCCAGTTTCCTCTATTATCAACAGCTTATATTAGTATGAGACATTTGTTATAATTGCAGGCTTTTTTTTTTTTGAAATACCGCAGAAACATTTTGTCCTGGAAGAAAAAAACCTTGTGAGTTTTGATTAGAACAGTAGTGTGTTTGAGTAAAGTCATTAATTTCATTTCCAAGCAGCTGTACATTGAGTCCTTAGTTTGTGCCAGGCATTACTGAAGGCTCTGGGGCTGCTTTTGGACCTTGTCATGGAGGGAGATTTTCTAGTCAGAGTGTCTATAAATATATATATTTATATATAAATATAAGTAAATAAGTAAATATATTTATTTATTGGAGTCTCACTCTGTTGCCCACATTGGAGAGCAGTGGCACGCTCACGGCCACTGCAGTCTTGACCTGCTGGGCTCAGGTGATCCTTCTGCCTCAGCCTTCCAAGTAACTAGAACTACAGGCATGTGCCACCATGCCTGGCTAAGTTTTTGATTTATTGTAGAGATGAAGTCTCGCCAAGTTGCCCAGGCTGGTCTCAAATTCCTGTGCTCAGACAATCCTCTCGTCTCCGCCTCCCAAAGTGCTGGGATTACAGGTGTGAGGCACTGTTCCTGACTACGTTGTGTATATTGACACCATTTTAAGTCTGCCTGCCCAGGCACGTGTCTCCACTTTTTCTGATCTGGGTTCTTTTCCCATGTCTGCTCCTGTGTGTTGAGGACTCAAGTCTCGTAATGCCTGAGGCCCTCACATTTGCTCCAAAGTGACAGCGGCTCCTGGAGGAGCCAGGTCGGGTAGCCCACAAGCCTACAGCAGCAGGCACAAGTGATCAAAATGCCAGCTCCTGTGTTGCTCTGGAGACACGACTCATCCCACTGGCATGGAATTCGCAGCATTTCAAATGAGCCATCAGTACTTAAAAATCAGAGGATTTCACCCGGAGGCTTTCACTTTTCAGGTTTTCTAGAAAAATTAGATTTGGCAACATTGTCTCTGCCTCCCAAATCCTAGCAGTTTGTAAGAGCCTGATAGCAAGGGTGCCCTTTAGCTAACTCCCTGTGACCTCTCCCAGATGGAATGTCCCCAGTCATGTGTTACAGACTTCTGCATCATTGACTCTTCCAGTAGAGAAAAGTGCAATCCTTCCTACGCCTAGCCCATAGCACTCATCTGTGTGACTGCTGCGCTGGCCCCTTGTAGGCGTCTGAGCTCATGACACTGGATTCAGCTGGACGGTACCTCCTCCTACTCACCTTTTGGGTCTCAGCTGAGACAGTGCTGCCTTTGGGAAGCCTTCCCTGACCTAGACTAGCAAGGTCAGATGCCCCTGCTGGCCAGGTCTCACCGTAGTCATCAGATGTTATAATTACTTGTTCCACAGCTGCTCACCTTGCTGAACTGCAAGCTCCGTGAGGGCAAGTCCACTGTCTCAGGCAGGCATTTGTCTTCAGCCTCTAGCCCTGTTTCTGGCATGTAGTGAGTGCTTGTTAAATATTTGGTGAGTGCGTGCAGTAGCCTTGTGTCCCTAGCTGTCTTCCTTGGCCTCTGATATGGTGGTTCTCATTCCAGGCTTGCAGAATGATCACAAGGCGGTGATGAAGCAGGTGGAGGAAGCTCTGCACCAGCTGCACGCTCGTGACAAGGAGAAGCAGGCCCGGGATATGGCCGAGGCCCACAAGGAGGCCATGAGTCGCAAGCTGAACCAGAGTGAGAGCCAAGACCCTCCTCAGGCCTTTGCCAAAGTGAACAGCATCAGCCCTGGCTCCCCAGCCAGTATTGCGGTAATCCAGGGCCCGGTTGTCGAATCTACACCCCAGGGACCCTGTGGGTCAGGAAGCCTTAGAGGGTGTGGAAGGCAGACCTGCTCTCTCCTGCTGCAGTGCCAAGTTCATTTACTCATTCAACAAATACTGAGGCCTGCTGTGTACCCAGCCTTGTGCTAGGAGCTAGGGTTTTGGAAGAGGGGTCAGCCTTGGCTGCCCACCAGACTGGGGGGCATGGGAGGAGAGTCCTGTTCCCAGTGACAGAAGGTGATAAATGTCCCAAGACAGGGAAAGAGGATCTCTGATTTTATTTTTGTATTTTTTTTTTTTTTTGAGTCAAAGTCTCACTTTGTTGCCCAGGCTAGAGTACAGTGGCACACTCATGGCCATCCCAGCGTCGACCTCCTGGGCTCCAGTGATCCTTCTGCCTCAGCCTTCCAAGTAGCTGGAGCTACAGGCATGCGCTACCATGCCTGGCTAATTTTTGATTTATTGTACAGATGAGGTCCCGCCAAGTTGCCTGGCCTGCCCCAAACCTGTGGGCTCAGGCAGTCCACTTGCTTCGGCCTCCCAAAGTGCTGGGATTACAAGTGTGAGCCACCAAGCCCGGTAATCTTTACCCTATTTTTACCCACGAGAAAAAACCTCAAAGGCCTGAAGTAACTTCTGCCAGCATGCATAGCTCCTAGCAGATGACATTGAGTCCTAACTCCAGGTCCTGCCAGTCTTCTTTAATGATCACGAGACTGTAAATTGCACATAAGCTCTGTTTTATTCACTGCCATGTCTGTAGCCTCTAGCACAGTGATAGTCAGCCCATTATAAATATCTGTTACAGGAATGAATGCGTGGTAGTCTGTTCTTAGAGCCTAGAGCAAGAGGGTCACTTTCGTCCTGGGTCAGCCTTGTGCCTGTGACTGCTTGCTTGGGGGCTTCTGGAGCAAATGTGTGTCTTGTCTAAATTTCAACCACTAAATAAAGTAGGCTCAGACAAGTCTGCTTCTTCTTCCCCTTGAACCTGGATTGGGACCCCAGCGAGCAGCATTTGGCTCAGCCCACATTCCTCGAGGCTCCATAGCTGCCTGCTGTGACATTGGGCAGACCTGGCCACCTGTACCAGAGCTGCTCTAGAAGGACCCCACAGGTGGAGGTGGCCCAGTTATCCACTGCCCTTTCCTACATAAGGTGTCTGAATCCCTGACCTCTTTGTTTTGAGTCTGCCCTCTAGACAACAAGCTCTTGGCCTTGACATTAAATTGGATATTGAGGCTAAAGAATACCAGAAGCACATTTGACCTCTAGCCTGATTTTCCATCTTTTCTTCTTTCTTTAGGGTCTGCAAGTGGATGATGAGATTGTGGAGTTTGGCTCTGTAAACACTCAGAACTTCCAGTCACTGCATAACATTGGCAGTGTGGTACAGCATAGTGAGGGGGTGAGTTGGGGGCTCTCTGATATCTTTGTCTGTTCAGGATGCTATAACAGAATGTCATAGACTAGGTGGTTTACGAACAACTGATTCATTTCTCACAGTTCTGAGGGCTGAGAAGTTCAAGATCAAGGTGACAGCAGGTTTGCTGTCTGGTGAGAGCCTGCTTCCTAGCCCACAGGTGGCACCTTCTCATTGGGTCCTCACATGGCAGAAGCAGGAGGGGACTGATCCTTTCATGAGGGATCTACCCTCATGACCTCATCACCTCCCGGAGGCCCTATACCCTAGTACCATCACATTGGGGTTAGGATTTCAACATACAGATTTGATGGGGACACATATTCAGAGCATAACACTTGGCATTTGGTCAGTATCTGGAATTGCTGGAGCCAAGAAATGTTGCTGGTATCTTTGCTGCCTTAATAGTGTTACTCTTCAGTACATTTCTTGTTCAGGCCTTTGCATGTGATATTCCTTTTACCCAGAATGCTTTTCTTCTCTCACCTCCCTCTTCGTTACACTAATGACACCTTCTTACCTACCTAAAATTCCCTTCTCCTACTTCCTATTCCTGGCTTTATTGAACAATGTTTCTTGTAGATCTTTTCTTTGACATATATCTCGTTCTATTTTACTGCTGCATAATATTCTATTGAGTAGAATGCAGTTCATCCATTCACTGTCTTATCAGTGGTTATTTTGGTATTTCTTTCTTTTTATTTTTTGTGAGTCAGAGTATCACTCTGTCATCCAGGCTAGAGTGCAGTGGCATGCTCACAGCCATCACAGCCTCGACCTGCTGGGCTTAAGTGATTCTTCTGCCTCAGCCTTCCAAGTAGCTGAACTACAGGCACATGCCATCATGCCCAGTTCATTCTTTGATTTATTGTAGAGACGAGGTGTTGCCATGTTGCCCAGGCTAGTCTCAAACCCATAGGCTCAGGCAATCCTCGCCTCCACTTCCCAAAGTGTTGGGATTATAGCGGTAAGCCACTGCGCCTAGCTTTATTTTGCTATTTTAAATTTTGTGCTAGTATGAACAGTTGTGTGTACTTGTACATGATTATGTACACATTATGGGTACTTCTTGAGAGATTCCAGGAAGAAGAATTATAGGTTCTTAGTATAAATTAGTAAAAACCTTTTCAAAAGTAATTTGAAAATTACTAATTTATACCCTCATAGACAGTATGTGAGTGGGCAGAGCATATCATTGTTAGTACTCTGTTGATTAGTAAAAATTTTTACGGATTTTTTTTTTTTTTTGGTCAGAGTCTCTCTCTTGTCGCCCAGGCTGGAGTGCAGTGGCACACTCACGGCCACCACAGCCTCTACCTGCTGGGCTTAGGTGATCCTTCCACTTCAGCCTTCCAAGTAGCTGGAACTACAGATGCACGCCACCATGCCCATCTAAGTTTTTGATTTATTGTAGAGATGAGGTCTTGCCAAGTTGCCCAGGTTGGTATCAAACCCCTGTGCTCAGGCAATCCTCTTACCTCAGACTCCTAAAGTGCTGGGATTATAGGCATGAGCCACCATGTCCAGCAACATCCTGTTAATTTAGGCTTTCCTGATTATCAGTGAAATTTTTTTTATATGTTCATAATTTCATTTCTTTTAATTTAATTTAATTTAATTTTTTTGAGTTGGAGTCTCACTCTGTCACCCAGACTGGGGTGCAGTGGCCTCTCCCAGCCACCACAGCCTCGACTTGCTGGACTCCGGCGATCCTTCCATCTCAGCCTTCCAGGTAGCTGGAACTACAGGCGCGTACTACCATGCCTGGCTAATTTTTGATTTATTGTAGAGATGAGGTCTCGCCAAGTTGCCCAGGCGGGTCTCGAACCCGCGGGCTCAGGCAATCCACTCACCTCAGCCTCCCAAAGGCGTGGGATTACAGGCTGAGCCACCGAGCCCGGCATCTTTTAATTTTAATTCCATTTTTTCTATTGGGCTATTTGTCCTTTTAGAATATTGATTTGTAGAGACTTCTTTGCATTTTCCAGATATTTAACCTATGACTGTTATATGTGTTGCATATATTTTTTTCTTGGTTAGTTTCTTGTCTTTTTTGTTTGTTTGTTTTTAGTCGGAGTCTTACTCTGTTGCCCAGGCTGGAATACAGTGGTACATTTACAGCCACCACAGCCTCAACCTGCTGGGCTCAGGCAGTCCTTCGCTTCAGCCTTCCAAGTAGCTGGAACTACAGGCATGCACCACCATACCCAGCTAATTTTTTTATTTATTATAAAGACAAGATCTCACCATGTTGCTCAGGCTAGTCTTGAACCTGTGGGCTCAGGCAATCCTTTCACCTCCATCTCCCAAAGTGCTGGGATTATACAGGCATGAGCCATCATGCCCTGTAGAAATATTCTAAAATTGATTGTGGTGATGGCTGCACAATTCTGTGACTGTAATAAAAGCCACCTTAAGTGGGTGAATTAAATTTCAATAAAACTTATAAAAATAATTTTTAAAAATTCCAGATGAATTAAAGGAAAAATGCAAATAAAACTATAAAATTACTTCATTAAGTAGACACAAAAATACAAGAACCAAAAGGCAAAAAAAACCTGATGAATTTCACAAAATCACAGTTTTACATGTTCATACAAGTTACAGGCTTAATGAAGGTGCTGGAGGAGAGACGGTGGCCCGATCCCAAGCAAGGGAGCTGGCACCTACCGATTATATCTTGGTGGGATCCCTGCCTGGATGAGTCACACATGGGACTGAGCAAGAGCAGGCAAACCAGCCGGGCTCGGTGGCTCAGACTGTAATCCCACGCCTTTGGGAGGCTGAGGTCAGTGGATTGCCTGAGCCCGCAGATTTGAGACCCACCTGGGCAACTTGGTGAGACTTCATCTCTACAATAAATCAAAATGAGCTGGGCGTGGTAGCGCATGCCTGTAGTTCCCACTACTTGGAAGGCTGAGGTGGAAGGATCGCCAGAGCCCAGCAGCTCGAGGCTGCGGTAGCTGTGAGCGTGCCACTGCACTCCAGCCTGGGCATCAGAGTGAGACTCTGACTCAAAAAAAACACTGCAACTTAGCTGGGCATGGTGACGTGTGCCTTTGTTTCCAGCTACTTGAAAGGCTGAGGTGGAAGGATCACCTAAGCCCAGCAGGTTGTGGCTGTGGTGGCCATGAGCGTGCCACTGCACTCCAGCCTGGTCAACAGAGTGAGACTCCGACTCAAAAAAAAAAAAATGTTGCAACTTTGCTGGGCATGGTGGCGTGTGCCTTTGTTTCCAGCTACTTGGAAGGCTGAGGCAGAAGGATCGCCTGAGCCCAGCAGGTCAAGGCTGCAGTAGCCATGAGCGTGCCACTGGATTCCAGCCTGGGCAACAGTGAGACTCTAACTCAAATAATAGTAATAATAATAATAATAATAGCCAGGCATGGTAGTGCACGTCTATAGTTCTGGCTACTTGGAAGGCTGAGGCAGAAGGATCACCAGAGCCTATCAGCTCGAGGCTGCAGTGGCCAGGAGTGTGCCACTGCACTCCAGTCTGGATGACAGAGTGAGACTCCCAACTCAAAAAATAATAATAATAATAATAATACTCCTGGGCACAGTGGCTCAAACCTGTAATCTCAGCATTTTGGGAGGCCGAGGTGAGAGGATTGCCTGAGCCCAGGGTTCGAGACCAACCTGGGCAACTTGTTTAGACCTCGTCTCTACAATAAATTACAAAATTAGCTGAGCATGGTGGTACATGCCTATAGTTCCAGCTACTTGGAAGACTGAGGCAGAAGGATTACCTGAGCCCAGCAGGTTGGGGCTGCATTGGACGTTAGCATGCTACTGCACTCCATCCTAGTTGCCAGTGAGAATCTGACTTAATAATAATAATAATACTGCAATGAACATTTGTAACAAAGTTTTGGGGAGGACATATGTTCTCACTTCTCTTGTCTATATACCACATCCAGAATTTACTTTTATGATTGGTGTGAGGCAGGGCACCAAACTTAATTTTTTTCCCAAATGGATAGTATCGTTTCAGTACCATTTGCTAAATAGTTAATACTTCACCCCCTAATTTACATTGCCACTTCTGTTATGTGTCACATTTTTATGTTTGTAGGAGTCTTTATTCTGTTCTATTGATCTGTTCTGAGCCTTTCTAGGGTCCCTTGGAAGAAGGCTGTTTGTTCCTTGTCAGCTTTCCTATAACTCCTTGCCATAAAGAGTGTATTGGTTGTCTCTTGGTGACTAAAACCTCAAAACTTACCAGTTTAAAGCAACAAACCATCATCTCTCACAGTTTCTGAGGGTTAGGCATTCAGCAATGGCTTAGCTGAGTGGGTCTGGCACAGGGTATGCCATGAGATGACATTCAAGCTGTGGGCAGGGTGTGCAGTCATCTGAAGGCTCAACTGAGGCTGGAAAACTCACATGGATGTTGGCAGGAAGCTTCAATTTCTGGTCATGTAGCTTCTCAAGCATCCTCACATGGCTATTTGCTTACCCCAGAGCCAGCCACCAGGAGAGCAAGGAAGGAGGAGATAGCATTTTATATAATCAATGAAGATTCGCATTGTCACGTCCAGTTAATTCATTAGAAGTGAGTCACTATCCAGCCCTGACTCGGGGAGGAGGATTAGGCTTTACCTCTTGAAGGAAGAAATAGCAAAGAGTTTGTGGACAGATTCTAAAATCACCACAGAAGGCTTCAGTTTTCTCTGCCTCCCTGGTGACCACATCTCCAGTCTCTCCAGGCTTTTAATTCCATTGTTGTTGTCCATCCCTGTTGTATGTGTTGGTCTTCATGGCTTCATACCTTTGCTGTCCTTGTACTTTTTTGTGTGTGTGTGTGTTGGAGTCTCACTCTTTTGCCCAGGCTGGAGTACAGTGGCCCACTCATGGCCACAGCAGCCTTGACCTGCTGGGCTCAGGCGATCCTTCCACCTCAGCTTTCCAAATGGCTGGAACCACAGGCGTGCACCACCACACCTGGCTAATTTTTTGATTTATTGTAGAGACGAGGTCTCGCCAAGT